GGGTTCCCAATGTGAGGGGAATAGGTATGGGTTTTGAGACTACCCTGTGTCATTCTGTACAACCTGCAGACTTTGCTTGTATTGCTTTGCACTGCATGGCTGTTTCCTATTTTCATACTTTCTGTTTCCAAACCACCTATCTTCTATTCCTGGATTTTTCACTGCTCCAGCATTTTGTGCTGCTCCCAGTTCAAGCCCCTTCATGCTTCAGCTTTGTATATCTCTTTCCTTACTCATGTAGTCTTACTTTCTCCCAGGGTTCAATTTTCCTTGGCCAGCTTGCATAGACACAGGTCCCCTTTTCTTTCCTTCCACACCCACTCCACCCAGTCCCAATCTTCCTTTCCAAGATGCCAGATACAAGTGCATGGAAAAAGCATTGTTTTGTCTAACATGTCCCTTTTTCTGGTACTTCTGCATTCTCCATCCCTAAATAAGGTTGAGGCAAACACCTAAGAAACAAAAAATCAGCCTGAAAGGCTGAAATGTGGCAAAGTCTTAGGAGACTGGGAGTGGGCAGAATATAATACTCGGGACCACTGTTTGTAGGCCACACCACTGTCTGATTCTTAAGCAATATTGTAAACTGAAATTCCAAAATAAGGTCAGGATGCAAATTTACCAGGTAAGAAAAGCTGTGTAAAGACATCAGAAGAGAAAGTTATGCAAAGAGGAAGAAATTAATGTTGTTTATTGCTGACACGGCTTTCTCCTGTCTCTCTAGACTTTCTCCCTTTATATTTGTTCCATTCTGGACCCAGGAATGAATACAAATTAGTTTAATAAAATTTCCCAACTGAGATACAAAACATTTGGAAATGATTTTAAAATATACCATGCAGCTGAAATGTCATGGTTAATTTTAATCTGCAGCATGCTGTTAATATCCTCTGGCTATTTCAATGGTGCAGAAGATTGTAATTACTCACCTGTTAAAGCAAATGGAGCTTTAACAAATCTGATCACAGCTGAAAAGGAGGAGTGGAGAAGACAGGTAGACAGATGCTGTCTCAGTATGTCATCTGTGAATGATTTCTTTGTAGCTCGTTGAGAGGAATTGGGTAGCTATAAAGAAAAAAGCCTATATTATGAAGTGGACTGTTTCCTGTAATAGCAACTTTTTCTAGATTCCCCTTTGACAAAGTTTTCCCAGCATTGCAACAGAGACAGTGCTAGTGCAGTTCCCAGCTGGTGTAATACATCCTTTGTTACAGAGATGAGAAAGTAAGTGGGATGACATAAAAATATAATCAGTGGTGAGCAAAGTGTAAATAAGTGCTATCCAATATTTTCCTTACAGCATTGGCTGTTTTCTGCTTCCTCTCATCACCATTTTGGCATTTTTTGCCTTTGATCAAAAATTTATAGGGCCTCATTCATCAAGCTGTTAATTTACTATTGCTTCTGTCCCTTGAGTTTCACTGGCATCAAAGAGCAGTGAGTGAGGCTTGTGGCTGTCCTTGGCCTGATGAGGGGATGGGGGAGCCCTTCATTGGGTCTTTGCCTGGGTGTCAAGAGGTGGTCCTTCTACAGGTTATGCTGGTATGCCAGTGTCACCGTAAAAGTGCTGTTTGAAACCTTTCTCTCAGTGACATGTCTCCATCTCCTGTTGATTTTGTCCATCAGAGTCACTGAGAGATAAACTTGTCCTGCATCTCAACGGTAATGGCTTCAAAGTATAAGCTGTGTGAGAGGCCCTAAGGGACAAGCAGCATGTCCAGGCCACAGAGGGTTTGTGTTTTGACTTTAGCTACGTGGCCACACCACATGTAGGAACATTATGTCACACTAGGAGCCTGTTTTCTCCCCTGACCTGAGTAAAATGCAGAAACCTGAGCTGTCCCTTCATGCTGGCTGGGGAATTTCTTATCTCCTGAGACCTAAAGTCCAGTTAAATGCACTTTTCCACCTGCTTTTGTCCGGTGATAAGTTTTGCTCTTTGGAAGGAAATGTTCTATATGATTTCAATTTTAATTTTTGCACTTAAGTTTTGTTTTAAGAAAACCACCTTGATCTTCCTTCAGTCCACACTGATCTCATGCTGAGTAGTTTAAATCATAAAATCATAAAACCTTTCTCACGGGAGAATGTAGCTCATCAAAATCCTGTCACTCGCACTTGGAAGGTAAAAAAGTACTTTGAAGTGGTAATGAAGTAAGTTCCTGCTGCTTAACAGAAAGTTTTGATAAGATCATGTTCACTGGGTGAGTACTTATCAGAAGAGCTGCAATTCATTTAGTGGAAAAAAGGATCCCAGTGGAAAGTATTTAGATTGGAAGATCTAGCTGTTGAGCTTCTTAGCAAAATGCATCCTCCTCCCTTCTTCTGCATGTCCTTTAAAGAAGCAGGTCTGGTGGTCCTGGGCCATCTCCCATCTACAGTGACTGTGTTTACTGAGAGCTTCTGAACTAACAACTGAAGATAATGTTGTGGTTTTCAACATAAGCACAGCGAAGCCCTTCAGGCCTTTCAGTCTTTCCTCCTCTGGAACAAAAATGTGCATTTGCCAGGTGAGTGGTGAGCTCTCACTTGTTCTCTCACATGGCTGTGCTAGTTAATGTCATACTCCTCCCATTCTCCACGCTGTATCCATGTTCCCCAATTCTTGTTCCTTTTTCTGTATCTCCTGGGTTTTTAATGTGATCTATCCTTTCTGCTTTCTCTGGGCTTGGTTGAAATATTTTGCAGTGGGATTTTTAATAGAATGCAGGGTAGGTGCCCATCTTGTACCCCACCTTGCTTTGGCCCTCAAGATTACTCTATCTGACCTCTATTTTTCAATTTATCCAGCTTAGTAAACTCTACTGGCAAAGTGCTGAAAGCCATCAGGCTTTTCAGAGTCAGGGCAGCACCCCAGTCCCTCAACCACTTCAAGTCATGCAATCTTTTAAGTAGACAGAATGATGAAAGAAATGACAGATGGTAGTAGCTTTCCAGATAACTGAGCCATTTGTGGAAAAATTAGATTTTAAAGAGATTGAAGCAGTTGGAATGCTTTGGGACAATCAAGAACAAACATGGGTAAGATGCACAGTGTATTATTAAAAACAGGAGGAAAGAGAATGAATTTTAGATTTTTACAGAGTGATTCTGTTGGGTTTGAGGCTTGACAAAAATCCACTGTGGGGATGGTCAAGTACTCACCTCAAAGAGAGGGGACACTATGGGCTGTAAAATGTTTCTTTCAGTAACCATATATTGGCTGGCATGGTACATACACACATGCAGAAAAGCCCTATGTGATTTCTAAAGAGAAAAGATTAGTGTGAATATCAGCCACTCGTGAAAAGCTGACAATACAGGCAGAGCTCTTGGAGGTTTTGAGAAAGGATGTGATAGTATGAGATTGACTAAGGCCCCTAATGGGAGACATTGGATTCCCTGAACATGGACATATCTAGTAGCTTAGAGGGATGAGCTTTCAAGCAACTGGGCTTGAACAGTGTCCTCAAACACCAGTGATGGTTGTACCATGGTACGGACAGGAGAACAGCATTGTCCTTCTACGTCCTTTCCCCTCCTGCAGCCACAACAGGTTGTTCACATCTTGTCCCAAGGGTCCTGACAGACTGCAGCAGTTGAATTGCTGAGGGAAGAAGTGGGGTAGCAGCATCTGTTTTCCTCTGTAGGTTTTCATGCAGTGAGCATGGCTGGCCACTTTTCATGTCCATCTGGTGCCAGGTGGAAAGTTGTGTCTCTGGGGACAAAGCTCCCTTGGTTAACATGAAGAGGTGGACGAAGTCGTGGGATTAGGGGTCTGTGTCAGGTGTATTTCCGTACATAGGAGGAGGGCAGTGCCTCAGGGAGTTCAACCCTGCAGCAGCTCTGACAGGAGGGAGCGACCCTGTGTCTTCTGCCTCTGTATTTAATCACAGTGGGAGTCAAGTGCTGGGGGAGAGCTCACAAATCACACCAGGCAGTTTTGTTGTGGGGTTGTAGCAGTATGACAACTGTTAACAACTTCCTGCTTGGGTAAATTATATCAGACATTGCTTCGCAAAGGTTGCTGTAATGAGTTTTCAACAAGAATTTATCCCGGAACCATGACACTGAGCATAAGTAATTGCAATCATACGCTACCTGTGTCATTGATGGTTTCTGCTATTCTGTAGTAACTACTATAATACCCTGTGTAATTGGAAAGAAATACAGTATTTTTCTGCTTTCTTAAGAACAAGAATTGTTACTGGAATAGAGAATGGTCCCTAAAATCCTGCTGTGTATTTATGTAAATCTATGTAATATGAAATACAAACTTTCTTACGTGATACCATCTAAACTAATGTTGTACTCATGGAACTAGTATTGATTGTCTCTGCTTTTGAGGTATATTTTTCGATACCAGTATAATAATCTACCATGTAAATCATTCACTGTGTTGGGTTCATAAGAGAAGCAAGACTGAGTCTGGACACAAGTATATCCTGTGTTATTCTTGAAAGACTCAGATTTAGAAAGAAGGAAGATTTCATACTCCTGTAAGTCTCTTTTGTCGGTTTTTGAGGATTAGAAATATACGGGCAAGGCAAAGTAATTTTCCTCGCTTGTGTGGGTCTAGCTTTCCAAATAAATTACATTCATGCTATTGCTTCTGGGAACATCTGCATTTAAATGAATCACAAGACAGTAATACTATCTTTCAATAATCCACCTTCTCTTTTTTCCAAGGAAAGTATGTCTGGTGTGTGTCAGTAAAAGGAGGTCAGTGAAAAATAAAATAAAATGCTGAGGCAGGAATGAAAGCAGCATCACTTAACTTGGACTACCTGGATATTGCTAAACTAGGTCTGAGTCAGACCAGTTCCTCTCATCCTGAAAGAACCCAGTAGCTTCTGACCTGTGTCTCAGGTTTTTTTATCTACCTAGAGCCTTTATGGGTGAATTTATTTTTAAGGAGCAGTTAGCAGATGAACTGGCTCCAATATAACAGAGTGTGCCTCTCGTGAACCCTGACAGTAGAAATGAATAATAAATACCTGTTGATTTTTTTCCTTCCACAGGCATCAAGGTTATGTTTATACCTACAGACTGTCCAAGACAGAAACTGGGTCCTGGTGTGCTGAGGTGTGTACTTCTCCTTTCTCTTCTGAAAATTTCTACTTCCTGTTTGATGTTTGTATTGATTAAATGAAATATGTTAAAATTATTCATGTTTCTGCGTAATCGATTTTGAGTGTGCCCATCAGTAAGATGTCTTGGTGCCATGTCTGACAGTCTTGAACTCGTAAATTAATTCCCTGTTACATTTCAGCTGTTGCATAATGCAATAGTGCATTATTTTGCATCATTTTAAGTGACAAAAATATTGTGATTTTATCATTTGACAGGTACAATCTGGTTCCTACAATCCCACACATCATCAATATCAGAATATTTGAGGAAATTATTTTCAATCTATGGTGTTTTAAAGTTAATTTATCTCCAAATTAATTCATAATTGGTGCAAAACATACATAGGGTAGCTGAAACTTGCTACAAAATGCATTTTCACCCATCTGATAAGAAACTGGTAATTCAAGTGTAGAATTAACATTACTTGCAATACAGACAAGTATTTGTGTTGAAGGAATCGGATGCTAACCTGTGTTTCTTTTATGAAGGTCTTGTTGGTTGGATGTACTCTGTGTATTAATTCATACTTAAATTGCACATTAATGAACACTGATTGCAAACATTAAATAACTTCTAGACAGGCCTAATTCCTTGGCCGTTATTACAGTAGGAGTGGTCTGGAATACAAAACTAATTCCTGGGGTTACTCAGAAGCAGACTGGGGAGTAAAAGTGACTCACATTACTGAGGAGCAAATAATTATCTGCGTCACCCCTGGGAGTGGTACCCAGGGAGAATTTGCTCCTTCGTTCCTGTAAGGCAGGAATGGGAGGATGCTGTAGATTTGTACGGTCCAAGTGGGAGGTTTCTTGGGACAGGCTGGGGGTGGTAGTGCACCCAATGTGCCAGGGTGAGCACTGGTGTCTCAGGAAGGATGCTGGGATCCCCAGGGACCTGTGGAGGATATCTCCCTGAGCAAGGATGCAGCCTGCTTTGACCCCAGGTAATGTCAGGATCTGCAGTCTGGTGTTACAGAGGCCTGCTACAACTCCTCCCCCATGACCTCCACTGGTTTCCTATGTGTGGGTCTTGGGTTTCCCCTCACTGTATTTTAGGCAAACTTTGTGTTTTACAGCGTAGGTGTCCTGAAAGACCAGGACTCCCAGTACATCTCTCAATACATCCCTCTGCAAGGATAGCTACAGATTTGTGATACCAACCCTTCCATTAAGCAAACAGGAACCTTTAAGTAAATGTTGCTAAGAACATGCTGGCCTCAGCTGTTAGAAACAGCAGCCTAAATCCAACTTATCCCCCCACCCAGCCAAACCAGGCTGCAGCTGCAGCTGATGCTTTCCTGTCTCTGCTTCCTTCCTGGGGCTGGTTAGTCTCTGACAAGCTCGGGTCACACCCATCTTTCAAGGAGGAGGCAGGGAAATTAAACAGCACTGGTAAAATCCCAGCCAGTGTGAAGCTTCCAGCTAGTGCCAGGGAGGCAGCATTTACCCCGCTACACTGATGAGAGCGAGCAGGGTCCCTTGGCTGGGACTATGCCAGCAGGACCTATACTTGTCCTCCCATGACTTTGGTAGGGAGGAGAACGCCCTGAAGGATTTAGCAGAAACATTGGATCTTTTATTAAAAGCAGGCACAGTTTCATTTCACAGTGTTTGAAGGGATGCTAATATAGAAAGACAGAAAAACTCCCACTTCCAATAAATAGGTAACATTTTGCTGCTGCCTTTGTAAAGAGGTAGACAGAACACTCAATGAACACATAGAGCAGTACTAAATGCTCAGAGAAAGTCTCATAAAAAGATTGTGTCCATGCCTGAATTGAGTGGCATGAGGACTCCTGCTACCCAGTAAATGCCAGGTAGCTCTCTAGATTGTCTTATTTATTTCCAGGCTGGAAGTATCTTACTGATAAACCCAAGGCTGGAGGTTAAATCACTGGCTGCAATAAGTCACGGTCAGAAATAGCAGACGATCATTTGGGAATTTGCCTAATAAGCATGGCAGGCTCTGGGTTTCTCTTGCAGTGATTAAGAAATTGTCCCTTTTCCAACCTTACATGACCACACAGCTGGAAACTGCTCTTAGTGCAGGGAGGGGAAGAAGGCTCATTGATTCAGCTTAGGTTGGCACATCAGGAGGTCTAAGTAGAAGGGCTGACTCCTTCCCTGTGGGGTGTGTGTGCTTTTCTGGGGACAAGCCTTCCATGCCTGGCATAGAGCTCAGCATCCAGCATCTTCTCTCACCTCTCACCCTTTGACTTTACAGACAGCACCCGGCGTCCACCAGAGGCACTTTCGGAAAGTGCATAACCTCATTTCGGCCTTCCAGAAACCTGACCAAGGCATCATAACGCCTCTGCAGCACCCCGTCGTCAACCACGTGAAAGCCAAATACCTTCCTGGTACTCATGGGGCGAAGGGAGATTTGGCCTTGGCTGAGCAGAGCCCTACATGGCGGTGGGGATGGAGGTCTTAGATTTTGCAACTTTGACCCGGGCTAGCCAGCATTGACAGAAATATGTCATAACTTTGCTACCACGTGATTGAAGTGCTGGCACCCAGGTGCTCATTAGGGATAGGGCCTGTCAGTGCAATGAGAAAATGGATTTTGAATATGTATTCCTGAGTGCTATACTGGCGGTAGATACCTTCCCTCCCCACATCCCTCCCTCTTGTAGGTACGAACCTCCTGATTTTTGTGCGGTGTTCATCCTTTCATATTTTTGTGGTTATTTTTCTTAGGGAGAAATGAAGGCCGTGACTTCCACCCGCAGCCATCATGAAGATGTTTCCCCAAGTGTGACATAACCATATCTTCTGGTATCTCCTCTCATCCATGCTCTAGAACAGAACTATTCACTGATAGTTAAAACAACTCCATGAGTTTTCTTGTAACATTTGCAGAAATGTGTATTTTGTAGAATTTTTAACTCAAAATTCAGAAGCTTTAGGTTTCCGAATGTTTTGACTTCAGGGGATTTTCTTTTAATCCCCCCCCCCCCCCCCCTCCCCCAAGCAGAAGACAAAAAATATCAACTACTAAATAGTGTAATGTCTTCTTTTATCTTTGTGCACTCAAGTATAAAATATTTTTCACTTCAGTATTAGTTCCTGATTAATAGTTAGTTACTAATTTTACGTTACTTCACTTTGGACTCTGCTTTGCTTTGTTCTGGTCATTTATGCAGAGCTGAGCAAATCAAGCCCTCTTCTTTCTTTAGCCTTAGCAAAATTGCTTACATTAAAGCCTTGGGTGGGCTGTGTGTCTGTCAGTTCCTACAGGTATTCCACAGGTGGCCCCATGAGGAGCCCTGCTAACTGATCTCCCATCACGTCAGGTGCTCTGCTCTGTAATGCATCAGAACTGGCTACCACTGCACAGATGTACAAAGTTTGTAGTCTGCACAAGCAATCAAAAGCTTAAGCACTGAGTAGCTGAGACCAGCTAGTGATGTGGAGAGCATTGTTTCTGCTTTCAGATGTTCTGTGTAGTTGAAACAAACCACCCCTGCATACAATTTAACAAAATAAATTATTTTTTCGTGACAGTTTCTCTACTTTTCCTTACTTATCCCTGTGTCTTTCCAGCTGCTGCTGGAGGAGAGGTTTGGATCTACAGGACTCGTCAGCTGTGCAGGCTTAGTAAGTGGCTACCAGGGAATTTGGAGTACGTGCCTCTTACTCTCGGGTTTAACAAGCATTATGGTACCATCCTGTTTGAACTGCCAGACACTAGAAAACCCTTTTGAACAGACTGGATGTCCTACAGCCCTCTTGTTTCAGGAAACAGTGCTGTGTCTGCACTGTGGTTAAAGGGTGGTAGGCATGGCTTGGCGGCACAGTGGGAGGCACTGGGGTTGATGGGGCTGGTGGTGGTTCCTGAGGCAGCACCTGCCTCTCTCCAATAGTATTTTTATCCCCATATAAGATACTTCCATGGGGATGCCTCCTTCACCAGTGTGTTAAAAAAACTAATTGTTGGTATCCTGGATCCTGTCTTGTTTTCACCTCGCTAAAAGCAAGATGGACATGAAGAGTGACAGAGCGTAATGGGCTGCAAGTGCGGGGTTCAGCAAGCTTAGGCTGGTTAGGCTGCTCCAAGCAGTGTTTGCTAAGGCTGAAAGGTTTACCTTTTCTTTCTTTCCCTGTAAGTGGCTCTGTGTGTGTGTGTGTGTGTGTGTAAGAAAGAGACAGTGCAAGCAACAAAACATTTTCTGTGAAGCACAGCAAGTTCCATGTAAACAAGCAATGGGAACAAATGCAGTAAAAAAAACCCAGCCCCATTGTAACAGGGACTGGAAGGCAATACTCTTGAAAATTTGAGACAATTTCAGCTCATTGCTCAGTTTCTGCTGAATGAAGGCCAAATATCATTTATGGTGAAATGTTCCATGTCCCCCCTGACTGGTCATACACTCTAGGTGCATGTGTTGCTCTGTGCCCCCATGCTACATGTGCTGGTTGGTTGAAACAAGGGTCTCATCTTCATACTGTGGCAGATCTGCAGTGACTGGTCCCTGTTTGCTCCTCTCCAGCTTTGCGCTCCTGCAAACAATCCTTCCCTAAAGACAACTGACATGTTGGGTGCTGACAGAGTATGTGTGCGCCCCTGGGCTTCCTGGGAGAGCCCTTTTGCGTCCAAGGAGGTGCTGGGTCTAGACTTCTGGTTTACCTGGCCTCTTCTGGAAGCAAAAAAGAATGTGCTTGGAAATGGTCCCTGGCAGGTGATTTCACTGTGGTGGGGATAAATGCAGTGGGAAGCACTTTGCCCAAGGGCTGTTTCCTTACTCATCTGCTCTGAAGTGCAGTGAGCTGAAGATAACTGCTTTGCCTGTGGGTGACTCCAGAAGTGCATTGTTCTTCTAAAAGATACATAAACCAGGCTGGAAAATGCCATTTTTGTTTAAAGCTAAGAAACTTGTTTCAGTTTATGATGTAAATTATTAAGACAGTCTTGTTTGCGTTGTTTCTTTTGGGTACCCAAGGGTCTGGAATTGCTGCAGATTTCACCTTAAACAAGGTAAATTCCACCGCAAACAAGGTGGAAAGAGAAAGAAAGGCTCACGCTACCCGTGGGACAACGAGCTGATGCTTAGTTATGAAAGAGTAATACGGAAATGGCATAGCTTGACTTCGGTGTTAAGAGCTACAGATCTTTTTAGACAGCAGCAGCCTCATTCTGTGGGGATCACTTCCCAGGCAACGCCTGTATCACCTGCTTCCTGCTTCCCTCCACCCCTGCAGCCACAGCAGGATGCAGGCCCTCAGTGCTTCGCTGCTCTGCCCTGTCCTACCCCGGGCTCCCACTGCCCCTTCTCCTGAGTGCTGCAGCCCTGGCTCTGATAGAGGATTTTGCAGCTCCCTGCAGGGACTTTGTGTCCTTGCCTGGGCCCTCCCTGCTCTGCCTTCTCCCCAGCAAGGGCAGCGCTGCTCCTCTGCAGTGACTAATCCTGTCATAGCTCTCTTTTCCCCTTTGCTAAGCCCTCCCTTACTCCCCAGCTCCAGGCATGACAGACTGCCAGCAGCATTGAATCAATACCTTTTCCCAGACTGGTTTTTCTTCCCTTTTCTATGAGAACACCGCTTTGGCCTCACTTCCTTCTTATCCATCCAACACAGGTCTTCCAGCATCAACCCTCACACTCTATTATTACAAAGCCCAGCTGCTCCAACTTGGTTTTCACCATGTAACCTTTTCTTCAGCCTTAAACACTCCTCCTGCCCCTCTTGTTCACTGTCTCCTCTCTCCTGCATGTGCTGGGCTTTTTCTTTTTCCCTTTCTAATACACAGTCATTCATCACCATCTATTTGAGGCAGCTCTACAGAACATGTAATTACTTAAACTTTGCTCCTCAATCCCTTCCACCACCATTGACTTCACCCACTCAGTTCCTGCAAGTGCAAAGGCATTTAGCAGATTCTTTTTCTCTCTCTCACCTTCATTCTGATGAAATGTAACAACCTGTGCACAGAAACTGTGAAAACTGCAGTTATATCCATGAACTTTGGTGAATCAGAAGTAAAATTAAATCTTGCTAGCAACCCCCTGCCCTCCCAGCTTTTGAATCAACCAATGTTATCTGAAGCCCTTATTTAGCTGCATGGAAACAACTTTTTTACTGACATGACCGGAATGTCCCAAGTACATGGTATAAACAAAGACAAGGTCACATGCCATCAGTTTGCACCTTTATTTTTTAAAAATGAAATAGTCAAAGTACTTTCTTTTTCAAATATCGACACATAATATATTAACTTTTAGTATTTACAGCGTGTTGCTGGGATGTTCTTGTAGAAAATGCATGCTTCTGGCCTGAAACCCAGAGCAAAATGCATCAGACCATTTAACTGCAGCCATATAACATAGACCTGTACAGTATCCAGTCACTATTCAGCACAGGAGTTAGAGCAGGAATAAAAAAATTGGGATCTATTGTTTCCTAGCAACGAGGCTGAGGCCATTATAACACAATTTCTGTGAGATCAGAACCTCTAACTGGTGTTAGATAGAAACTGAAGATCGTGGCATACATTGTAAACGTTTTTACCTTGATGAGAAAGCTAAAAAGGAACATTACTTTGACATATATTGTATGCTATGCTTCTCTTTCTCGTTTATTGACACTTCTGCCTGAAGAGTATGAAGATTTTAATGTTTTATCATGGTTCATACAAGTAAAATACTGTCAAGGACACGATTTGATATAATAACATTTATTAAAAGGCTAAAGTCCATCACAAGATCTAAGGAAAGACTGGAAATCGTCAAACATGTTTCCTTAGACAAATAATGGCAGGTGACAAATGCCCAGAGAAATCCACAGCGAGTCCGACACCACCATTCCCAGTTCCTGCCAAGAAGTGATTCCTCTGGCAGTTAGGGTGCTTTCGACCTGGTATGTTTTGTATTGAGGAGAGGTTTAAATAACAGTCAGCATTTAACAGGGAAAACCCTCATGGCTGTCAGCAGCAGCCTCATCTGAGTGGCACTGTGCTAGATCAAATGTCCCCAAGCAAGCTATCACCCTGCCAGGGATTTGCCCATCTCTTTTTGCTAGGGCTACAGTAGGAACTCCTCTGCCTAAACCACCTTCCCTTTTGGAAGTGTACCTTGGCTTCCAGCAGCACCCATCGCTGTTGCTCACCTTCAAAGGCAGAGTGGGGCTCGGTGGGCAGGGGTACAGGGCTGGGACCCCAGAGCTGCAGGAGTGATTGTGGCTGAAAAGGGAGGCCACGTCTATCTGACTCCTGTACAGCTAAGAGGACGTTAAAAAGAGCTCAAACCAAACAGCTAGGATGTGTATACCGAGTTGCACATTGACCAGTTCATATATATTTATTTGGCTATGTTCTACATAGATATCTATATATATATATTTATACCTTTCAAATGTTCTAGATTTGCTAAATAAATATGAAAGCAAAGGAAACATTACTTGTACACACTATTTGTTTGGCTGTCATAAAAAATATAGCATGTATTTTGCATGGTAGATACTTTGCTAAAGGATAGTGTGCAATAGTGGCTTATTTTATTTTATTTTATTTCATTTTATTATTTTTATTTTATTTTTAGAACCTTGTTTGCTGGGCAGAACACTAGCATCAAATTATCTGATCTAAATAAGAGTAAAAATTTCCATGCCGCTATTTCTCTTTTTGTCATTTGGGTCTCTAGGCTATAGTGCAAAATAAAAAATAATAAAAAAAGGGAAAACTGAAAAAAAAAACCCAACCAAAAAAACCCAAAAAACACTGACAAATCAGTCTGACCAGTAGGGGAAAAGAAAAAAAACACCAAGGATACTGAAATATCCCTGCCTCCATCTGAGGTTGTTCGTGAACAAGGTGGCCCAAAGCTATTTGTTTGCTTAGTTTTCACACATCACTGCTGGTTGGCCCATGTGCAGCTACTTCAGTCTCCAGTGCTTTTTCAGTAATCACTCATTTCTTTAGCACTGTCATCTCAACACAACATTTATATTTCGTTTCCTAAATGTCTGAAACTGTTATGATGAAGGTATTTATTTTTTTCTTCTATAACTGGGCCATGTAATGTCTTGTGATTCTTTATACAACCATATTCTTACAAGAAATATTGTTCAAAAATGTACCTTAGACTGTACCCAGGAACTGGGAAAATGCCAGATGTACGTTCATTGACAAACTTGTAACACATTTCACTCTTCGACCTTTTGGCATAATATGAGAACAACAGTAATCAAGGCAGTATTAAAACACACAGCTGTAGTAATACAAAGTGCATTTTCTGCATATAATACAAATATAACTTTAAGAAACTAAAGGCACAACTAACTAAATATGTATTACATACTAGAAATGCACAGTTCAAGGTAATTCTAATAGCTTCCAATATTTGTTCATAAGGGGTATTTAAAGCAGTTTGAAAATGATCCTCATTAGTGAATTGCAAAAAAGTATAATTGCTTAAAATATAAGTAAAATAGACTCTAATATTGACATCTTGGATCAGTGATAAAATACATCATCACGTTTATGAATGCACTCTCTATATACAATTCATAAATTATTCTTCCGTTGATTAAAAGCATATTAGAGGCTCAAGGATTTGAAGGTCTGTTTTTAGGCTGGTGTGGAGGTATTCAAATTCTCTGTGATTGTATGAAAAATTACAGAAATCAGAGCTGTCAAACCCAGATGTTGCCAGCTCCCAATTCTGTCCATTAGTTAATGATGAGCCTGATCAAAATGTGGATGTGCAGATTTTGGTCCAAAGTTCCCCCTGGCTGGGGAGCGGAAGGAGTCTGGAAAGAGATGCTAATGGGGTGAGACCGGAGTTCAAACCCCTGCAGGGGGGTCAGGTCTCAGGTGCCCGTTCAGGCTCATCTCTAACTTTGGTGCAGTCTGCTCCACTTGCCCAAAAACAAGGGGAGAAAAAAAAAGAAAACTGGAAAGAAGGGAAGAAAGACAAAGAAAGCACTTTGTTGGCTTCAGTAAATATGAGTAAAAATTGTTTCAACATATTTACTATGTCTGTTTGAAAGAAATGTGCAATAACATCACTGTTACGGATACACAGGCTCTATTACAAGACTTCTAGCTCCATCTGAAAGTCAGTAAAGGAAATCTGCTTGCCCGTCCCTCCCGCCCTGTGTGCCCTCCCCACCTCCCCAATAATCAGGTCTTTCAGAAATGACAAGCTGAAGGAAGGATCACCTACTCTGCTATGAAATAACTGTGCCAGCAGCGCATGATACCTTGGGAAATAAAAATTTCTCTCCATGCAATATAATGCTTTTCTATGTGCTCTAGATATTGAGCTGAAAAGTGAAGAGTCATGCCCAAAATGACTCTACGTTTATCAACATATTCACTATCCACACTTAGGTTCACCAACTCCCAACCCACCAATCTTCTTCAGACTTGAAAAAATGAGTAATACAACAGGACTATTAATTTGAGATGAAAAGAACAAGATGCCTAAACCCAACAACACTGCAATTTCCAAACGATCTGTGAAAAGATGAGTCCTGGCCCAATGACTACAGACAGGACTGATCCTGCATGGCTTGTCCTTACTGCACTGTGTGGGCCCTCCCAGCTGGACAAAGAGGGTTGTCCTGAAAGCGCTGAGTTGAAGCCCACTCTGGAGCACTCTGATATCAGTGGAGAGACTCCAATGGACTGCAGTGCTCTCAAAGCTCTTCTTTGGCCACCCCTCACACCCCTCTGAAGCCCATCAGGACGCTGCCACCCTGCACCTCTCTTTCAGGAAGATCAGCAGCTCCACATGTGCTGCCAGACTCCAGCATAACCAAGGGAAACCTTGGGCGAGAGGCCCCCACATGCAAAAGGAGACACAAGGTGGCATTCATCACTGAGAGGTGGCAAAGCTGAAGGCCATATGGAACAGCCTTTTGCGTACTGTATCCAATACAAGTTGGGTTTCTCAGAATAGAAAACCCCTTAGATCATAGCTGCGAGGAATGACATATGTGGGGTCGGTGAGCAACTACAAAGTTCCCATACACAGTCTGGTTTCTGTATGCAATCCCTTGAACTTCTGGGAGATCTCACTGGGATACAAACTACCCAGTGAGTGAGGGTTGCAGAATGAGGCTCTGTAACCCTTTAGATAACTGGTGAATTATTAAATCAACGACAACAAAAAAGCTGTGTTTCTTTAGCAGGTGGCAGAGCATGCTGTGCTCTGCCCTACCCTGCGGGGACTCGCGCAGGTCGCGCTGCTCGGCCGTCAGGACTCTGCTTCTGAAGGTTTTGAATACTGCCACACAAGAACTAAAAATTGTCACTGTCATCTCTCAAAGAGTTAAATGAACAATATTAAAATACCATCTTCTGTCACATTTAAAGGCAGTTGGATATGTTTTTTCCTCTATATTTATATATACAGAGTTCTGATCTAGAAAAACCAATACAATAAACCATTTTACGTTTAAAAACAGGCAGTCTTTGGTGACGCAAAGGCAGAAATTTTCTTTGTTACCTTCTGCCTATTTCACTCTGTCTCATAAAGTGAATATTATTGGCACTGTCAGAAAGTTCAAGATACTGCTCCACAGATAAAACAAAATATCCATCGTAGCCTTGTACCCTCCCAGTGCTTAAAAGCTGCTGTTTCTCTCCATCTGTCCATGCCCTAATACCTTCTTCCCCTTCCTGCAGCCGTCTCTGCTCCTTAGTCCAGGCCTGAGCCACGGCTCTCTGCCTGGCTACCTCTAACACATGGTTCTTTTCTTCTTCAACTGTTGTTCCATACCTAACGTTAAAGCAGAGTGCGCCGTGCTGGAGCTGGATGTCAGCAAAGCGTCTAGTCCTCCCATTGATGACAGAAGTCATCTGTGACACCGTGACGTTGACGCCATTCTCCAAGATGCGTCGTCCTCCGGTGTTGCCAATGAGAGCCAAATCTTCTTCCAAAGACCCCAGCTTGATGAAGTAATGCGTGTCTCGGCCCTCTATGGTGAAATGCAGGTTCTCCAGGTAGTGAGCGTTGTTGAGGATGGCAGCAATGCGCCGGCTGTCCTCGTTAGCCACACCTATGATGTCAGCTGTCACTAAACCGTCCTTTATAGCAAATTTGATGCCTTTTCCAAATACTGAAGGAACAGCTGCAAATCTCCGTTGCTTCACTCCCTCATAGCACTTGCCATCACTATATCTGGGTGTCATGGGAAGTTGATCCAAGGATATGAAGTTTCGGAGTTGCTTTTGTAGCTCACACTGAATGCCAAGGATAGTCTGGAAAAGAAAATACCAGTGAAGTTTGCAGGTGAGGCATCTTGCAGTTCATTATAGTGTCTCATAGACCCTACTAATCTCTTGATTGCTTAGAATGGACCTTCAATTTGTCTGGAAAACACTGTGCATATCTACAGAGCCTGGGTATATGCACAGGCTTTCTAATCACCTAAGGCATTGCTTTCAGCCTCTTGGACTCTTTTATTTCTAGGAAACAAATAGAAAACATATTTATTAAAAATGGTAATTTTGTATTTCTTCTTTTTTTTTTTTCCACCCATCTTTGAATTGTTACTCTAAGGGCTGGCTTTCAACTCTTAGGCATGGGGAAACCTGAACTCAAAGCTGTGCTCTTTCACATGAATATATGCTTAGTCTCTGTGCATCTAATTATGTCTTCTGTAAAATAGCAGTAAGTTTTCATAGCCCATTCTTTAAGGAAAGTAGGTTGTGAAGGTCTCAAGACACTAGAACAATAAGAACCAGGCAAGTACATCAGATTTGTAGATTGAGGCTAAAAAAACCCCCTTCAACCAGCTATTTGTTTTTTCAACACTATACCCATCAATACACTTTTTCTGTGCCTTTGTAACAGCTTCTTTAATATCTCAGTGATAATTTTGCATGAACGTGTTCCTATGTCCAGAACTAGCTCCAACCCTCCAGCCCTCTGCACTTTTTGTACTCATTTGTGCATGGAAAAGAGGTGTGCTAAATGCTGTGAACATAAACTCACAACACTTCATACCTCCTTTTCCTGACTACATTAGATGAAAGGAGTCTTTTTCTCTCTCATCTATGCAAAATCATATTTCTTTGTTAACAGATGTTCATATGGTCACATGAAGAACATGAATGTCTGCTCAGAATATCGGTAGTTGGTTCTGTTGCAGTTTCATTGATTGATAGACCCTGACAGTTGCTGCATGGCTCTTCTTAACTGAAAATAAGCCCTGAAGCGAGGTTGAGTTTTACAGACCCCCCTACAAATCCATAGCAAAATTTCTCTTTTCCCTTCTCTTTCCTTTCTCTTTTCAATAACTATGTAGAGGTACAGACTTGTTTTTACGCTCAGTGATTTTGCATCTTGTTGCATTTTTGCTAACAAAGATGAAAATCTGTTGTTTTAATATTGAATCCCACAATTTTTTTTGTATTTTTTTCCATTTTCACACAAATGCTTTAACACATTTACCCTTTTGTTTCTCAAATTTGCATAGTTTCTCTGTAAAGAGCTGCAAAGTTGCTCCCCTGTGTTGCTAAAAGCATCTCCTTAAAACTCTCACTCCACTCTCACACATGTACAGGATTAACATGAACGTTTCTAGCATTGTTAGACTATTTGCCTTGCCTATTATGCTGAAAGATAAAGTCACATTGTTTCCTTGGTCTCCAACGTATTCTAATAAAAATCCTTATCTTACTATTAGAAGCAGCTGAACAGAGTTTTTGCTGACCTTCCCAGGATCCCACTCTTGGGTTTTTGTTTGAAGCTCTAGAAGTTCGTATGTTGTCTCCAAAGCTTCTATCTCTGGTTTTGGGAATCCAGGTAGTACATTGTGCAACTGGAAACCAAACAGCTCTAGCCAACTTCCAATGTCTACAAAACAAGAAAAGGATGCTGGCAATAAGGTATATAACTCCTAGAAAAAGCGAGGGCAGTCTGCAGAAATTGCAGCTATGCAGAAATCATTTTCACATCAATTTATGTTTTCAGTATTGGTTACAGCATTTATTGTAGCAAACAAATTATTTGATTACAAAGCATAGCTATACTTGGATCAATAGTGTACCTTCTATCTATTTATAGTGGAAAAAATTCAAATTAAGCTGCCTCCATTCTTCCCCTAATTTTAGCACTTAGAAAAGCAGCAGAAGCAACTATAAATTATTTTCTTGGCTACCATAAAGGCTATAGAAAACAGATCAAGCTCAGTAAAATGTCACCTATTAAAGACATTAATTTAACATACGTAAGATTAGAGCCAAACAGTAACTTCAGAGGTATGCAAAAGATTTCTGGAGTCTTAAATCCATGGCAGAATTTGACAGATAGCTGTATTTTCATGAGAAACATGTTACTTTTACCTGTTGTGTACTTAGCAACATCTTGGATTCTGCCGACTGGGTAATTATTTTCAAATGAGTAGAGATTAAATGGCTGTGGGACAGCATTCAGGTGTTTCCATATGTGATGGTTTGGTGTTGTCCATCGGCCAGCAATGACGTCATAGTCCCGCTGGCCCAGATGAACTAATTTAGTAAGAGAATCATAGAGCCCTCCATGAAAACCAATGATAACCTGGAAATCTGGATTAGTGTCCTGGTAGATCTCTCCATATGGGGTGTACAGTATTTCTTTTATGACTTGGCCCCGACTGCTAAATACAGCTAGAGGTGTTCCAGTGTTATCACAAGCAACATAATATTCTTCACCACTGCTCAATTCCATTGCAATGAGATGACCTTGAAGATCATAATACAGGGATGTTATTTCTGAGCTGGTATGATTGTACAAGTGAGTAACTCTTATTGGGTTGGAGAGATCAGCATAGAAGAACTGTAAGTGTTGCCCGAGGCTTGACTTGCTTGCAACCCTTCTTCCAAGACCATCGTAACAGTATTGCACAGTCCAGCCAGCCACTTTGTTATATGCTTTGTTCAGCAGACCGTTAGAGTTGTACTCAAAGATCTCATTGCCTCTTTGCCTGAGAAAACCATCTTCATCCATTTTATATTGAATTTCTCCAAGTCTGGTAATGCGATCTCTCAGATCGTATCTCAGAGGAGTGAGGCGTGCGCTGTTCCCATGGCTCAGCAAGTTGATGTTGCCATTAAGATCATAGCTGTAGCGCCACTGGGTTTTATCATTCACAGACACCGTCTGAAGCTGACCATCAGCATCATATTCATAAAAGTATCTTGTTATATTGGCATCCACACCTACGCGTATATCACAGATCACCATACGACCCATATTATCATACTGGATGGTCATCCAGTAAGCAATAGACTTGAGAATTTCATACTGTACTTCAATCACCTGGCCATTAGCACTAAAAATTTTGGTATGTTTCATCACAGTGGTGGTTATAACTTGGTTTAAATCGTAATTAATGACACTGAATTTTCCAAACTGTTCAGTCCTGCCAGAAACATCGACGTAACGGTACAGATCTATGGGAAGAGGTGTCTCATTTATCATGGCCTGCATGCTCGTGACACGGAAGTTGTTATAGCTGTAGTCAAATCTGGCGTTTACAAGTCCTTCTTCACTAAACCTGAAGATCTGGCGGCCAATAAGCGGACCTGTCCAAAACAAAAAGGGAAGAGGAAAAGCAAGAAGAATCGTGAATTATATCCACAGTATACTTAACCTACAGATCAAGCAGACAGGCAATGAGCTCAAATATACCCTTAAGCCTTATTGCTACTTGACTATCTCAGAAAATACTGTTAACTAAGAATATGTTAAGTTATTCTCTCACAAACCCTTATTAATGTTTGCTCTGCAAAATATTTATATTTTATTAACATTTGTTTAAATGAATGCTCTCTTATTAATAATTATGATTTCTGTTTACTTACAAGATAATTCTAAACTAAATTTATATTACATGCTGATTTCCTTCCTTGTATAAACAGTCCTTTTGAATTTATGTTATATTATGGTATAAGCAAGGAAACTTGAAAATGCAAACAATAAAACAACTTGATTTAGTATTTAGTGAATATCCACACAGTGGAATAAAAACAATCAAACATTATATGAGCTATTCCATACCAAGCAATAAAAAGAAAACTATATTTCAAATGGAGAGCTATATATGCGTATGGACACAGACATAGACACACACACATTTTTCTATTGAAACATAAAATATAAGAACTTGTAGACATAAAAATAATGGAATTTCATGCCAGGAAAGTGCAGGATTAGGGCCAAAAACTTTAGTAAAATAGTAAAAGTTACACAAACCTGTTTGCCTGTATCTGATGGTACAGATGAACCCATCATGCATTAAATGTATTGTTTTAATAACCCCAGAAGATTCCTCATAGGTGAACGTGACTTGAGTGGTATCATAGAGAATCTCAGAAAGCCGGGACTGCTTGGTGTACTTGTAAAGGACCCTGCGCCCTGTCCCAGGGTACAGTGTCTGCAGAAGCCGTCCGTCTCTGGCGATGTCCTGGATGAACGCCGCGCTACTGTCCGGAGGGGTATAGATGTTGCGGTAGTACCCGACGGACAGCATGGTTTGCAAGGTGTGGCGCACCATGCTCGGCATGGTGACCGACAGCAGGTAGCTCGACTGGTCGTACTCAAAGATGTAGCGGCGCTGGCTGTGCAACAGCAGCATCACAGACTGCAATCAAACAGGAATGGTAGTGTAAGCAAATATTATTCATCTAGGGAGTGCCTGATGGTTAAGGAAATGCTGAAAAAACCATCCACTCCTGTAGTTTGGTCTTACTGCCTGTACAACGCCAAATGAAGCTTTCAGCTGCAGGAGACCTGGCCAGCAAGGTGGTACAAAACAGGAGGAGAATAATAATAAGTTTAGAGGTAAGGACCTCCAAACTGGAAGGCCGATGTGGCTCTCAGTAGCATTTCAGCCTCATGCTGACTTGCTGTGTTGCTTTGAAATATTTAGGTCATCCTCCCAGGAAGCAAAACCAGAGAGAACCTTTTCCTCACACACCGGCAGAGCATCAGCACTAGCAGATGTTTCTAGTGTAGGTGCAAAGGGGAAACTTTCAGTGGTGTGTACAAGGTGTTTAGCTTTTATTGGCACTCTGCATACCTCTAGCACAGACCTACCCCCTTTTTCCATATGTCTTCTATTAAATGCACATTCCCCCGGGGTCCCATGTTTGCAGATGAAAAAAAACAGTCTGCAGGTTGTTTGGTGTGAGTACTTCTATCTCTGTTATTTAATATTTACAAAAAATGTAATTTCTACAGAGGTACTTGATATTTTGCCCTGTGCTGGTTAATTGTGGCTGGCCAATTGTGGCTGGTCAATGAAATCTGGCTGGTTTGTTTGGCAGATGAATACGTAAAGTCACAGTGTCACAGAGTACAACCCCACCGGTGAACAGTCACTGTTGAAACATCCTTGCCACAGTACCTGAGCTGAGACAGAGTGCTGACACTGCATGGTTCTTAGCTCACAGCCCAAACCTACCAGGCACATAAGGAAATTTATCAGGCTTCTGCATGATTGAGACATCCCCTAAAACAAAGTCCTATGAGGAACAGCATGAGTGCTTTTTCATACAGCACTGGGGAAAGAAATTGGAAAAAAAAAAAAAGGCTTTTTTGTCCTTTAAGCTCAAAAATCTTCCCTGGGAAAAAAACACCAATAGCTCAGCCCTGCAATGTGTTAAGTAACACAAGCCACTTTGCTCTGACAGATAGTCCAAGTGTTTATTGAAAGGGCCAAAGATAGGCTAAGCCTTGGCCATCCTCTCTGCAGCCCCAGCCTCCTGCCCTTCCAAGACGTATTTCTTCCTGTCCTTGGTGAAAGGCATCTGTCACCTGTATACAAGCCAGAGAGCACCAACATATGCCACTTGCAAGTCACCTTCTGCCAACTGGTGACGACAGATCTTTACAACGAGCTTTCTCATTGCTTTACTGCTGGTCTGCCAAGCATTTCTAACATGCACAGGGTTTATTTTGTTTTCACCTTCAGCCAAGAGTCCCCAGTCTGCAGTAAACCACTGGCTGAACTCTCTTCTAGCACTGATGTGACGCCTCTCCCTCAGTACTGCTCCCTGGCCTGTTTTTAAGCTGTCTGCCGTTGACAGAGTATGAATAACAAGACCAGAAACATCTCTAATATAACTTCAGTGCCCCTCTGTGCCATTTTTACAGCACTTTGTGGCTTTTCCACTTTTGTCCAGGATAGTAAAAGGATAGACAGTACAAGGGTTGAAGACTTAGTATCCTCGCTAGCCTATTAGAGGATACCTCTAAAATAAATTCCCAATTCATCCTAATAATATTACAATAGATTTTTCACTCTTTGCACAAATTGGATTCTAATTGTTTAATGGATTTTAGAGGGTAGCTCATAAAACATCCAGAGAGTTGTCATTTTATAAAATCAACCAGAGCCTGGTCAACCACGTAATGAATGATGCCACATGGTATATCAAGACAAACAGCCAGTGGCAATTACTTGCGAGCTCTAGTGGGGATCCACAGAAATGCTGAGCATCACCACTAGATGTCAGTTCTGTCCAACATACGCACACAGCCGCTCATCTATTCTGTCCGGTGGCAAACAGCAGGATCTTGGAAGCAAGCTTGGGATATGCAGGCAATTTTATAACACCATTAACTAATTGAGGAAAGTGACCAAAACAAGAAGAACCGAATCTCATCAGTAAAAATTATTTACAGTGCTACTGTCATAGGGCTTTTAAACCCTAAAATATTGGAGCTCATTTTGGAAGGAGTAGAGTTTTTTGAAGATGTATAATTACAGAGTCATGGAAAGGTTTGGGTTGGAAGGGACCTTAAAGCTCATCTACTTCCAACCACCCTGCCATGGGCAGGGACACCTTCCACTTGACCAGGTTGCTCAAATTAACTCATCAAGTGCTAAAAATGAAGAATTAAATAACTGTGAATTGGAAGTGAATTATAGAATTGATTTTTTGATAAAAGGAATCACTGGATCTTACGAGTTTTCAGACAACCTCTAGTAATCATTATGTAATTAACACAATGAGTTATTGACTTTAATGGAGCCACAAAATGATATTTCATTGTCTAATTTTGATAGTGAATCCATCTTTCCTTGGCTCAAGAACAATGATGAAAGTACATTAAATAGCTGGGAGATCATGTCCATGGTTTGTCTGACTTCCAGTTATTTTTAACAACCAGTTACAGCATAACCTGCTAGCTTTTGCTATTTGCTTCTACAAGATCAGGATTTGGCCACTTGTGTACAATTCCAGAATAACAGTTTTATGACTTTATTTATAAGCTCATCATAAACTAAGAACAGACAAAGTGGTTTGGAAAGATAAGAAGCATGCATCTTTCCAAAATTATGGTCCATTAGACCCAAAGAAAAAATAAGATTCCTCCAAAAGGCACATTGCCCAAGTATCTGAAAGCTCTATTAAACACCTGTTCACTTGCCATTTGCAGAAGAGCACAGAGACAAAAGCATTCCTGGCAAATTTATCTGAACCAAACTTCTGAAGCTTCTAGGGTTTGCCAATCTTGTTAATACGTGCAAGAATCAAACTGCATGCAGACAAGGAAGGAATAAGATTTTTATGCATTCTCAAGTCTCAATCATTTTTTTCTCTCTGTTAGGTTTAAGTTTTTTGAGGATCAAGCTTAAATACATTTAAAAAAAGTACACCAAAGTTTATCTTAAAAGCACACATTTGGAACTATTTTATGTATAAATAACTTCAAAGCCATTGGATTTTCTGTGTGGAATACCCCCTACCAGTTTTACCTCACCTGTACCCTTCTAGCCTTTCCCTGTGGTTAAGAGGTTCAGAGAAAATGTTCTGCAAACTCACAGTATATTGGATAGTCCAAGATGTTGCTATTTAAAAATAAGGGTTAAAAGTATGCCGTTTGAATACAATTTCACACTAAGTTCTGAAACCTTTAAAAATACAGATTGGTCTTTTGGTTTTGGGAGACAAAGACCAAATAAGATGCTTCTACACATGAAGGAAATGCTGTTCTTCTTCAGTCTGTACAACATTTATTCCCTCATTTTGAGATCATTACCCGTAGACATAAATGAAAATTACAATACTCAGGCAATTTAGACATGAAGTCACTATAAAAGAAGAGCAATAACTTATTTCATATTAAAGTCCCCCCCCCCCCCCTCCAATGGCTCTCATAAATACTGAAGTAAACTTTCACCTCATAGGATCAATGCCTTTTTTCCAGTGCAGCACTGAATAGATGTAAGGTTGTACTTGCTGGCTTGTCATTTTGGTTTGAAAATGAGCTGTGTTTATGGGAAGCAAAAAGTTCCCTTTCAGTACTGTTATATTTTTGACTATGTTATACAGAGCAGCAATGTGCTTTTCAGCAGTGACCATGTCCTTTGTTCACTCAGACTGAGAGAAAGAAGTCATTTTTACTTACCAATTAAACAAATCTGAGGTGCTGATAACTTTTTCAGAGCTAAACTATGGCAGGTTTGAGTGGGTGACATGTAGGTCTAACCATTTCCAGAGGCATTTTCATTTAGTTATGTAACTGTATGCATTTTCTATTTCAAAAGTGTTAAATACTCTTGCGAGAGGTGGCATTATAACACAGCTCACAATACTGTATCTCTATAAAACCAAATATTTTTGGCCTTGGTACAACAATCCACTTTTAAAAATTACTTACCTTTTCTAAATATGTGTAACTCCATATTTTACCATCTGCCCATGTTCTGGAAATTATGTTTCCACTTGGATCATACTCCATTTTCTCAGTCCAGGTTCCTCTTTGGATATAGGTGACTAATCCAGAATGCGAATAAGTGATATTGACCTCATTGTACTTGCTGATGGGTGACCATAGAACTGGGCGTCCTGTCTGGTCATACATAATCCGAAGAGTGAATTTTCGATGATCATCATAAATCTTTCCTGTTCTTGTTACATGATCGAAATCAATGGAGAGTAGGTTTCTGTTGTGGGCCTAAATGCAAAGATACAGCAAAGTAAGAAAAACATGCATTTAATTACACACAAACCAAACATCTCTGTGTCAGCTCTAATAAAAATGGGCAGTGATCTAACATTATGATGGAAAATTTAGGCCTTATTAAAGACAAGAAAATACAAAAATATTCGCACTAGAAAGAGGAGGACCAAGAAACAAATGCTGCTTGAATTCAGTCTTATACTTTTCATTATAGGATGTTTCCTATTTCCATGTACTAAACCCTCACCTCTGCTCTCACTTTTCCCAAGTTTTTCTTCACAGCTGCGGATGGACTTCTTGATTCCAGCCAAAGATGTGTAGTTAAGCCCACAAATTAACAAAGACATCCTATCTCACATCCTCTCTTTTAAGCTCTGTTAATGTAGATAGGTCAGCTATTGCTCTGAGACAGCCCACACCAGGTCACATACTGATGCTGCAAAGGCAAGAACTGTGCTTGCAGCTCCCCAAGACCCTGCTCACCAGCATCTTCATACTTCTTCACAAAACCATCCCTCTCCCAGAGATCGTGACAGCCAGTGGCAGCAGGGCCTGGTCCAGCCATATTCCTCATTGCAGATCTCGCCACATTTGGGACCTGCAACATCTGTTAAGCTCACTGTGCCCGACAGCTGAATATAGTGACTGTGTTACGAGCTGTTAACATTTATGGTCCAACAGGAAAATGCAGAGGGGCAACCCAATTCTCTGTTTGAAATCAAGTTCAAAGCAGAATCACATTCATGAACACAGAATATACTTATCCAGTGCTGTCATCATCTGCTGCTTACACCATTCAGTCACTGGGCAATCACTATTAAAACTCCATTTAAATCAGAGATACAATTTAGGGAACCATAAAACATTGTTCATTGACTTGTCTTTCTCAGATCAATGCTCAAAGCGCTCATTGTATTAACCTGCTGCATTTTATCTAATCACTTGTATTAATCTATTCCAATTAATAACTTCTTTACGGCAGAAACGATGTCAGTGCAGGTGTTAGCTCAGTGCAGTGCTAACTCTCACTGAGACCTGGAGGCACAGCCATAAAGGAAATGGTTAAGAATATCTGTTTAATAATTCAAGCTGTGATCATACGGTGGTAGTGATTAGAAACAACCTTTTTTTTTCCCTTCTCACTTTCTGTTTTTAGATACAAAATAATTTGAAAATCTAGAAGAAGCAGGTGTTCTTTCTTCAACTACCATTCCTGGGGTTTTATATACACACATGTCTAACTTTAACAGTGTTCATTTACAATAGCCATAAAATACCTATATACTCCTGTAGACTGCTGTAACTATTACAATTTATGCTCTAATGATAGTTAAGGAGCCCAAGCAAAATGTGATGCTCAGTTCAACCCACAGAGTGAAAATAAGGTTTGGGTGGATGCCATTACAACCTTGTATTCCACATTTTATGTCTCATTAGTTTACTTTCTTGTATTAGGTTTAAGTTAAATTTAACACCCTTTTCAAGGGACACGGCAATATGCTGGTAGCAGGCCTCATTTCAACATTGTCACTGAAAGGCTGATTTCAAATCCCAGTGGCTTCTTAAAGATGACTCCTCCAATGTACGCACAATGCAGTAAGGAGCCCCTGTGAGAGGGTGTAGATCATATGTCCTCTTACAAGCCAGGGAAAACTGGTTTCTGAAAGCAACGTCAGCTGATGAAAATAAGGAGAGAATTCAGCTGACTTCAATAATACTATCAGCAATGCATAAAAATATATATTTATTATATATTTTTAAACATTAGTTGACTCTAGTTCCATTAGTTTTATAGGTAGAAATTTCGCAGTGGAAATAATAACATAAATGTGCACTCCTCTTGGCTTTCATTCTCAAGCCTAAACTGCCTACAATCTGTAAATCAGAAGAGATGATTGTATTATTTCCTTGTCTGTGTTTTGATTTGAGTCAACGTAAATGGATACACACCGGCAGAGGATTTGGTCCTATCATTAGAAGTTGCTGTAAGACTGGTAAATGAAAGGAGATAATTTGCTAAATGCCATAATAAATGTATCTGTCAAAGCCTTTATGTGTAGGACTTTTGAATTGAGGCCAGTGAGTTACTTCCTTTTTTGTTATTAAAAGAAAAAGAAAAAGGCAAAAATAAGTAAGACTGGCCAAGCATTCGATTTTTAATTTTGTAGATATTCAGTTATAAAACCTGGACTGCATCCAATGCCAAGTTCCTCTAAGTTATGCAAAAGACAGGAGAGAACAGAGCTGCATTCTAATCAGTATATTACTATGCATCATGCTCATTGGTTTTAACAGCAGCCTTTGCTTCATTTTTAGAAGTCAATTAAAATAGCAGTTCAATTGATAAAAAAGAAGTCTTGCTAGATTAAGATTGATGTTAAAATGCCTGATTGTACATAGATTTATTATTAATATAAAATGCATACATGCCTACAGACTGTTTTATATACTTTCAGGAAGTGCCAGGGCAGCCGGTTCTTCACTTAAAGGAAACCTGTGATTAATTCCTGTTTCCCACATTGATTTAGATACTGAGATAAAGTTAGATGTCTGTTCTAGCATTTCAGTTAACTTACTCACTTCTGTTCTATTTCCAGAGCAGGGAATGTGCACCATGCAAAAATCCCACTTCTTAAAACACGTTTACAGCATTATTCACAACGTGCTAACTGTGGCCTCTTTCCAAAATTGGAAATAACACTAATAGAGAGACATGCTTTCAAAATGGTTGCTAATTGCAATTAAGAATTCAGAGTGTTAGGACCAGGCAGAGAAGGAAACACTTTCTTCTCTTCAACTGGGTCATTCTTTATCTCATCCCCAGTTACCTGCCTCCTAATTTATACCTGTTAACACTCAAATTCATTGGTTTCAATGGCTGTATCAGGACTGATCTCTAAGTAACATCTTTAAACCTCATTTCTATGCTTTTTTTCCCCCCTCAGAAGGCTCTTCCATTGTGCTGTTTTAATTCTTTAACTGAAGGCTCCCAAAAGTCTGCTCATCTCCACTGAGAACTGGTCCAATCCCCAGAGCTTTTCTTTACATATATTTTCAAAGTTCAGCATAGTTCTTTCTGCCCTACATTGCAAGCTTTCTAACACACTACCTATTGTGCCAGTCATGGCATATTAAGTGTTTAAAAACTTTCTTTGCAAAATACAACTTAAAATGAAACTAGAAGTTTTCAGAAGGCCTCCCCAGAACCTCATCCAGCATAAGGACTTCTAATGATGCCACATTTTTTTTTTTTCCCAGCAGTACTCAAGGATCTATCAACAGCCTTAAATCCTTTTCATTATTTGGTGTATTGCTTCAAACACACTGTATGATGATATATTTTGCTTGCTGTCCTGCATATTTCCTTTAATCATCCACGAAAGATAGCAGACTCTGGGTAAATGCTGCTGGCCTTCCTTGCCACCTGCAGTGCTCCAGCTCCTGCCACCTCCACTGGCTCCCCGCTCCATCAGCATCCCAAGCAAACACCTCAGTACTAAAGCTGAACTCCAGGACCCAAAAATTTCACCTATCCTCCAAAGTCCTTCTTACTGGTAGTAACAGCCTCAATAGTCCATTTGTCCCTTTCTCTTGTTACACGGTGTAACCTATGTGTTGAATATTTCTCCTCCTTTCCACTATCAAATTTGTATTTAATGTCCTATCCTGTCTGGTTCCTTCCCACCTTGCTGCGACAGTCCTCAGACAGGCAGTCCTAGAGCTCAGCGGAGTCAAGAGAAGGGAAAAGTCTGTAATATGACTTGTCCTTCTGAGTAGGCAGGGAAAATCCATAAACCCCCTTGATCTTGGGTAGGTAAAAAAAGACACAGTTTACAGAAATAACAGCTGTGATGCTAGTGGGTATTTTTGGAAGGACACAGAATGTAAGACAGCAGCACATCAAAATTATTCTTACACTTCTCCTTCACCTTCCATCCTCCCATGGGATGAAGGTGAAGGTGGACAAAGAGGAGTACATGAGTGGTTCTCTGCACCAACAGGCTGATCCAGAGGTAGGTCAATCAGCTGAGATCTGGACACTGCAGTATTTCAATGAACATTTTATGACTCCAGTCAGAATCCATTTAATCCTGACCAATTTGTGAATTTCCTCCTTTTTTTTTTTGCCAGGGAATTTTAAAGATCACATGGAAGGAAGTGAAAATGAGTTAAAAGAACCTGCAGTCAACTTCAACAACAGAAAATACAAACTGCATCATAGGAAAACTCTGCAGGAAAACAATAACACTATCTAGAAATACATCTCTGTATTTTCAGTGCTAACAGATGTACCTTCTGAGACCATACCTATCCAGAAAGGTTGCAGTTCATAATGCAATATTTTTAAGGCCAGAATTCCCAGTTGTACTACCGGTACAGGCATTTTAAAGTGTATTCATGTGAAAACCAGAATTGATTTCATAAAAACCTGTTCTGCAAGGTAGCAGTCTCTTTGAGCCTTAGTGTTACCTAATTAAATGCTGAATGTTTACCATCTGTCATTGTAATCTGTGAGTTCTCCTTACAGATGAAAATAAACCATGGATGCAATGTTAAAGTAAATCTTTATTGGAGCCATAGTGTAAATCAGCCAGAGGGAGTGAAGGGGTCTCAGAGTGAGTGGTACAGGGCTGAATACACAGCCTGAATGGATACACAGGGAGGTTCTGTGTCATTCTGGCTTGCAGGAGATGCAATGGCCAGGACACCCAAGATGTGTCCAGTAAGACCCTGTCCCAGGCAGAGGCTGGCACCAGCTATTTCCCCAGAAGAAAGAGGGTTGATACATCTGAGAGAGGCAGAATGGCTCTCTGAGAGAGGCTCCAACTCTGCTGCTGTGCCAGGATGCCTCATGCTTGGCTCATAGCTTCTTCCAAAGCCATAATTAAGTTCTTAGTTGAAAAAGAAGAGGAGGAAAAAAACCTAATTATGTCTTGAGGTCAAGCCTCACAACCAAAATCAAACAGAGATCAAACATCCCTGTGACTGCTGGAAGAGTCTGATTTTGAAATTCATGGCTGGGGCCCACCATTGATATGAAGTTTCTATCAATGTTTTTACAGAGCAGAACATTTCAATGTGATTTTAGTTCAATGGCTTTCAAAAGGAACACTGCACTTTACACAAGAGGAAGCCTTACCCTTAGCCTTCTTTCAAACGTGGAGATATTGCCTTTGGTCTGCTCCCTCCTTTGCCTCCACTCAATGAGATTTGAGTTATGCTCTCCAGGAAGGGAGATATTGCACTTCCCTAAAGTGGGGCTGACAACCCCTGCTAGAATATGAGGCTCCGTGTTGAGCGTGATTTCCATCCCACTGGCAAAGGTGACTCTCAGAGACCCATCTGGGCTGACCCGGTAGATATTCTGCGTGTTATCTGTCAAAAAACAACCACCAAAAACAGGGAACACAGAAGAGCTCAGATCTCCAGAATTACAAGACAAGTATGTGCAACAGGGCTTTACCCCTACGTTACAGACAGCGGAACACACATCAGCTACAGTGTGATTTTTGCAGCCTGTGACCTCCGGGCCTTCCCATGTTCAAAGAGCTTTTTGGTACATTTATCCTGATGATTTCTGCTGTGAAGGTTACCTACAGCAGGAATAAAGAATTTTGCTTTCAGCTTAAAAGTATGTAAACCTATAGGCTGGGTTGGGCTTTTTTAACTCTTTGAAGAGGACAGCGTAATGCTTCAATGACTGCAATGAGTATCTGAGGTCAAGCATGAAACTTGGGACTATGAAAAGCACCCTTTTTTAACGCTGGTGCACACAGAAATAACTAGCCCAGCTCTTGAGACACGAATACGTGGAAAGTAGTTGGGTATTTCAAAAAGTGAAGATAACAGATATTACATTAAAGAGACTTTGTGACTCAGATGTATTTCTGACTGACTAGTTGCTCACAGGGTGCTTCGTGATAGTTCCACAGAGATGTGCAAATATGCAAATTATATGAATTCATAAATATGATAGGTATAATAATAACTACATCTGTTCATTTCTGGCACTGCCCATACTGTGCTAGCACTTTCCTGAGACAGAATTTGGTAACATACTAATTTTGAGGAGTTTCAGATTTAAGGACAGACATACAATCAGCCAGTCAGGAGATGATGGAGAGACCAGATGGGGTCACTTGGACAAAGCCTGACAGGCAATAGAACAATATAATATAATTATTTCCACTTATTCAGTGCTGTCTCTGCAATGCAATAGTGAAGAGGAGTGAGTCTCTTGTGAGGTGAGTTCTTCCTATTTGTTTCTTATAGATTAAAAGCTGAGAGGAAGAAAAATTCTGTGGTTTGCTCAGTTACAAACTTTTTCTATGGCAGACGTGGAAGGAAATCAGAGAGCAATTTCTCAGCACCTGCTGTCTTAAAGCCTGAACAATCCACTGACAACAAAAAATCAACAAGGAGAAAAAATCGCAGATCGATTAAACTATATAAAACCAGCACTTTGGTGATGAATCTGCACAATCTGGAGGACACTGTGGCAATTCCATTAGGCAGAGAGTAAATACTTCTTGAGAGGTATGACACTGGCAGGGAAGTACTGGACTGTCTACAGGGGTTGAGTCAAAATCTCATCCCAAGGCAGTCACCAGCAGAGGTGGGCCACGCTGTCCTCTTTCCTGTAAGTGCTGTCATCACCAGAACACAGCACTACCAGAAAGAACTCACAGCATTGGCATTTCAGTGCTAAAACGTCAGTGGGGCATGTCATTCTTCTGGGCAGTATTTCTCAGAATAACATAGCTCAGTGTATTATAGGGCAGTCCAAGTCCCCCAGAAACTGAAGCTGAAAGTAGCACATAAAGCTTGAAGACATCAGAGATTCCAATAACAGGAATTTATCCATGGGACTCTTCTAGAAGGAAAAGAATTCACTTGTGGTTTGTTTCTAATTGGTACCCCAGGAGAATTTAAAGTAGTATCTAGCCATTTGTACTGAAGCAAAGAAGAAACAAATGAACTAATTCTAATGTCTTTTTTTTTTGCAAGCAGTTAAGAATGCTATAATGTCTAGACTTTGAAACGTAATGATTAGGGAAGAAATAACAGAAATGCTTTAATTACCTTGTTTTAAAGTATATATTGTAGAGGTAGCTGAGAAGTTTGTGGCTGTGATCACATTCTCTCTGTTTGAAGTATCAAGTTCCACTCGCGTCAGCTTTTCAACATCGCTGTGAAAACTGCTGACCTCTCCGGTTGGGAAGGTTGCATTTGTCAGATGGCCATCAGAGTCATACCTGAAAGACATGATGTTAGAGAGCCATGAAATACATCACTGTCGTCTTGTAGGTTTTTTTTCCTGAATGGGGGAAAAAAAAAAAGAAAACCAGTGACAATTGTCAACACTGTGCAATATGTATAAAGATAAGAATTGATCCCTTTATTCACTCAAAATGCATTCATTCCCTAATCCGAATTCCTGCTTGGGCTCTTTTTCAGTGGTGCTGGATAAAACAGAAGTGGGAATAGTGTGAGATGCTACCTTCATCATGCAGCTTCTGCCAGAGGTTTCAGCACTGGACAGATGGTCGGGGCTCAGCCTGCTGGGATGTGATGCAGGAGGGAGGCCACTGGAGGTCACTCGGTATTCAGGCAACCAACTCACCCCCCAGAAGGCGTTTTCTAACTCTTAAGTTTAAATAAAACCAATTCTTAGATTCTGCAACATTCAAAACCTGCCTTTTGTTGCTGATGTGTGAAGTACATAATATGAATGGCGCATTTAAAAAGGGGACTTAAAGCGTAACAATAGCAATAAAATTAGATTGAAATCTGCAGCGATTAAGTTGCCTACATGGTTTTTACTCTTGTGTTACGTTTCCCATGGGCCTACTCAAATCAGCAGGAACTTCTCATCACAAGTAACAGCACCAGAATCTAGAGCACCACATTTTAATTCACCTAAATTTCGTCAATGCTAAAGAAATTCTTTTAGTTTAAGGTACTTTACGTGAATAGGGCCATGTTATGAGAAAGCCAATAATTAATTCAAAAGCTCTGGAGCAGTGTTTCTAAGAGGTCTTTTCAGTTCTACAGATATTTTTATTCTTTCTGATGAATACAGAAAACAATACAGAACATTGCTTGGTGCTTGATATTGTTTAATGTTAATGCCTCCTATCTTAAAAACCTTACTGATGCTAACATACTTTTATTCATCTACAATACTGCTGACACTGCAGTTGTATTTGCATGAGTAAAACCAATTCTCATGTTCATAAAATAGAAACCTTTTTGTGCAGGTAGGAAAGCCTAATTAAGTTTTCATGTTTTATTAACTGTATCCTCTCATTGACAAACATATCCTCAGTTGGTGTATCAACCGACAAAGCTGTGCTGCCTCCAATGGAGCTCTTCCAATTCACGTCAGCGGACGATCTGGCTATGTCTTTCACTTTAATGCGTTGGCATCATTTCGTTAGGATCTGAATTTCCCCCTAATTAGTCAGGGAAAATCTATGTCACAAGAAGTATTGGCAGAAAAAAAAAAAAAAAGAAAATTCAGGATTTTTTTTCTCTTCCCCTCAAAACAAAAAGAAAAATAGGGCAGCTGTTCTTCCTAAATACAACAGTGGACAATGAATAGTCACCATCTTGTGTTGTTTTTGAAAAATAATCAAATGTTACATACAATATAATCTCTATCTCACCTCCTACTGCCCCCGTATACATCCTGTGACTTATTTCCATTCTGCACTTATTCTGGTTCTGTGCAAGTTGACTGGGTACCACACCCAGCGATTAAAATTGGCTCTGATACTACTTTTCATCATTAGAAAACTCCATGAACATTGGGCAGATATATTTAATTTGCTGCTTGATCAAACAGATATGACAGCTTGCTGGGTTATTTGGATATTCTACTGTAACATAGAAAATGCTCAAATAATTCATTTTTATGGTGTAAATGCAGCCAGTTTTTGGAATGCTCTTGTGTGCAATACTTGGGATCCATCTTCACTGAGGATCCAATTGTGCTGTTGATATGGCTGCTGCTGAGACACAAAACTCCCTGTGTGACTGAAAATGGGATAAACTGTTACTAGACGGCTGGACAGATACAGTACTGAATTATAACGAGACTAGAGTGCATGCCAATGGGCTCTTACTCATGTAGATGGTCCCACTGACTTCAAGGAGAACATGCAGATGAGTGTCTCAGTAACGATTCCCCAGCATGACCATCCAAAGGCATTTTTTTATTCCAGATTGCTCCAAGAAACTCAAGCCTCCGCAGACAGATTCTGCCACCTTTCACATAATGAATAGTACCACAGTGGGACTCGGCTCCGGCAGAGCAATGCCCTACCCATACTAATAGAGGCACAATCATGACATATTTCTTAATGTTAATTTGGGGCCCAGTTATGCCACTGTTAATCATGTCAGTGACCATTTAATCATGCAAATAATTGCATTGATTTCAGTACTCACATGAGGAAGTGCTCACCAATATTTGAAATGCACACTTGGGGATATAGCTTCATAATCCATTTGCATTTCTATGTGTAGTACAGGTAAGAGTTATATCATTTCAAAGGGAAAGCGGTCTAATTAATTTTTTCAGAGAGAGCTACTTCTTGCAGGTGTTTTCTTGTCCTTGATTTAATAGAGGCCCAGTGCTCCCCCTCCCCTTTTACAGCTTTAATGGTACAATATTAAAAAATTCTAGATGACTGAAAATTGTACATTAGCTGTAATTTTATGCAAGAGCTCTTTCAGTACTTCCATTCCATCAGATTAGAGCAGATGGATGACAAGTACTTTTGTAGGTGGTTTTCTACCTCTTAATAATTCCCCCCTTTGAGTGAATCTGACATACAGGTAGATGTTCTGAACAGTTCATTATCTTGGCTCATATTCCAAACCATGATACGTGTTGTTAAACAAACTCATCCCTATTTCGGTTTGATAGTGACATGGGTTGAACTTTTGGATGTGAATGCAAATCTAGTTTAAACAGAGGAGATGACTCCAAGCAATCTGAAAGTTGCTCATATGGTATTTCTCTAAGCCCCAATACTATGTTCCTGTAAGTAACCCCTTCACAAAACCCCTAATTTTCAAACTGAAATTGGGTGTCAGTTCACAATGTGAGCTGTCTGGAAAAGAATGCCTGGTTAAAGAATAACTAAGGATCACCACGCCCCTTGACCTATGTATGGCAGAAGGTGAGCAGCATCTCCTGAAGGCACATCTACTCAGTGCAGTGCTCAGTATAGTCAGTTGCCCCTCTGACTGCAGCAGGTTGGGTGACATTCCATCAGACACTCAGGAAATTGTAATATATTATGAAGATGACTTAAAATATTGGCTTGAACATAAATATTAATGACATGCCTTCACTCTTAAATTGTGCTGTTGTTTTTGTAATGCTAATAACTGTAGTTCTGTTAATTTCTAGAGTGGCAGCTAATTTCTAGTGTGCAGTCATGCAAAGCCTGGACAGCTCAAAGCATCAGTGAGGACAGAGTTACCCAGCCTGCAGCAAAAGCTGTGAGAGTATAAAAACCTGTTTAATCTAGCACTATCTCTTTGTGTTCACCATACACATCATATCAATCCTTTCAAGGCACAGCTCTTTGTGCACAAATCTACATGACATACACTGGGAAGCACCTACAAGCAGGTGAAGTCCTTTAAAAGATCTCACTATGCTTGAATCATACTTCAACAAACAACTTCCCAGAAGAAACCAGGAACAAGCAATAGTTGTGTGAAATGGTTTACACTCAGTGTCAGTGGGATGGAGTGAGACTACCAGGATTAAGAAGCACATGAATAGAAACAGTCTGCTCTAACATGGTCTAACATCAAGTCCCTGCCACAATACATGCTGTTCAGTGTTTTAAGATGGAATAGGAATGACTTGGAGCTACTGTAAAAGCTTATTGAAAGCGTCACTGGTCCATGGTCTGGACTGATGCCATCCTCAAGTAGGGATTTAAATGGGTCACTCTCAGTGCTGAAATGATTCCAAAACCGCATACATTTTAAGTCATTTCTGCTCATAAAAGGTAACAGTCAGATCAGTATTTAAACAGCACCAGGATAACAGTGTGCTTTGTCTTGTTGCAAGAGAATTAAAGTTTGTATCAACAGATTCCTGATAATAACATCTAAACCAAAAAAGGCCCTGTATGTTTTTTTTTTCCGCAGATTGTCAAAAATAGTCCTCTCTAACAGTTTATACCTATGTTTACCATACTAACTTAGTCTTTGGCAGAATAATAGATGAAAACCATCCCATTGAATAAAAATCTCAAGCACTAGGCAGCAGTTTTCTCTGCTTTTATCCTACTTCTATTTTAAGAAAACATAATTCTAAAACCCTATAATGATGGTGACTCAACCACCTCTCCAGGTGACTTGTGCAGTAAATTTAATCCTCCTCAATGTGTTTTCTGTTCATATCCAACTTGGATAGCTTTTCAGTTTAGTTTTTGACCATGAACAACTATGCCCACAGAAAGCAGGCATTATTATCCTCCTTGGAGACTCTGAAGTAGTACTGTAATGTTAGCATCTGATTTCCAGCCATCACCTGTCACATCCTCAAACAGTGATTACGACAATTAATTAGAAATAATAAGAAATCCTGAAATGTCGCATCTCTTTATAAATAAAAAATGAACTTTCTTTAGGGTTGTTCTCTCTCTGGGACTAGATTGGGTTGTTCTGACTACATCTTTAACTGTCTTGCCTCGCTCTTTTGGTCTCCTGCAGGTTTTGCTTACGTGCCCATTCCTACAGCTTGTATGTATAGCCTTTTTCTAGTAAATATCCTCTTTGTTATTATATATCCTTTTCCCCTGCTGATAGAGAAAAGTTCACCCTTTGGATATTCCATCCACTGAGATTCTCAGTTGCCTTTACAACACTCCCTTCTCTGATCAGAATACTATTTTTCCCATTTTTGCCTTCCTCAGGGATTTTGCAAATTCCTGATTCACATCACAACTTGCCTCTACTTCTTTAGTTACAAAAAAGTCCACAATATTTTCATTTAAAGAAACAAATTCACAATAATAAAGTGCAAATGAAGCATAATATCAAGCAGTTTCTGCTACACTTAATGAGCACTATGTCCAGAGCTTTCACAATATGACAGGCTTCAGCACTTAAGAAATGTCAGTGCTTCATTTTAAAAGGTTGTACAACAGCACAGCTTGTCCTTCTCATGAAGGGTTAGTAGCAGGGTGTCTTTCTAAATTATTAGAACTGACTAAAAAAAAATCCAGTGGTCATTTAAAATCAGGTTCTTGACATCAGGCATTTAATGTCATGGACTTACTCATACACTGTTGTCCATCCATTTTCATCGCTCTTGGTTGCTAAAAGCCCTGTGTTTCCAGGGTATGTCATCAGAGCCAAGTTGTAGCCTTGGGCATAAACTCTTTTCAGAACCCCATTGCTGCTTATTGTCAGCCAGTACACCTGCCCTCCTGGCACCACGATCCACAGGGGCAGCCCGCTCGTGTCTCTGCGGATGTGAACCGAGTTCCCACTGCTGCTGGTGATGGTGCCAATATCTCCTTCCCCACTGTAGGTGAAGTTGTAAATGTAGTCCCTCGTTATGAGGTTCAGTGTGTGCAGGTGGGTGCCATTGATGGTGAACTGATACAATTCTTGGTCCGCTGGTGATGCGATCTCATACATGTTCGTGTCACTGAGGTGAGCCTTGTTTCGGCTGACTGCACGGATGCGAACATTCCCAAGGTCTGCTATGTACAGTGTGTCATCAGGAGAGACTGCTAGAGAAGAAGGTGCTTTCAGCTTTGCATCTTTGGCATAGCCACCATCACCTGGGGGAGAAATGGTAATTTTAGTAATCCATGTCTGTATTTAAGCTGATCCCCTAAGCCCGACACACTGCTTCTCCTCAGTATCACTTACAGGTCAATAAAACAAGATCTTCTTCCAACTCATTAAATCCCTATTATCTAAGGTTGGTGCAATTCTAAATTACTTGCAATGAAGACAAACAAGAATATAAATTATCTAATTTACAACATTTTTTCTAAGCCCAAAACCCTGCTGCTCAGGAAAGCTTTAATGGCAAAATTGTGAAAGAGAAAACATGGCACCTGAGTTTTTATTCTGCACTTTCTGTCTGTTGGCACGTAGTTACAGTAGAATTGTGTTACAAATAAAACAAAGAGAAAATAAACCCCAGTAATTCAGCTAAAATGACACTGAAGGAGGTATTAATTTGTACTTAATAAAACCTCAACTCTACAGGAAAACAAAAGCCCTAAAGCACCTTGAGAAACCACCCCTTCCAGTATCACTTTATAATTTATTTGGTTTGTGTATTTTAAGGTTTGAGGAGGATATCTGCATTATCATGGGCTGTACATCCATATCCAAATGAATTTACATGAGCAGGATTTTCTGTAACTAACAAGATAACATATTAAACCTCACTCTCAGAGTGAAACACATTCCTGTTTGTATTGCTCTCCTTCTCCTGACTGAGGAATTAAATCTGCTGGAGAGTTTGAGCATGCCCTATGCTTTCTTGGAGATGGACAAATGAGCTGATCTTTCTGCCAAGCCGACCCTGCCTTTTACCACCCCAGTCCTGGCACAATCCTTAGAGATGTCACAATTTCTCATTTTTTAGCACTGAGGGGAGTTTCCCTCAACACGAACCCTGAACAGGATTCTTTTCACTGCTCTGCCATAGCTGGCAGCACTTCCAATGCACATGAGGCTTTGATTATCATCACAATGCTGGGTCAGCAACACACCTTCTCTGGAATACCATTTACATTTTTTCCTCTCCATCATTGACATACTTAATGTTTTCTCGTGAGTAATTAACCTTTTACTTAAAATGAGAGGCTTAAGAATTATGATGACATTATGGAGCTGAACACAGTGGTACTTCGAGATGACAAGATGACAACATACTGCACACCTCTGCATACAGGAATGCTGTCCTTTGCCCCAATATGAAATATGTTTCTATCAAAAAAAGTGCTAAATTTGGTTTGGTGCATGCAGGGAGAGGGGCTGTGCTGCTGAGCATGTCCAGTGGTGCAGCGCGGGCCTGGTACTGGCTGTTCCAGTTCAAAACACACAAAGAAGAAACACTGAACATTATGTGTCTGCATAATTTTGCTGGCTGTGCAGTGTGATGCAAGCAATAGGAAGGCAGAAGCTAGTGTCTTTCATGTGATGTGAAACACCTTGGCGCTCTTCTTGGTACGAAGGGATGCCTGGTCCAGTAGCATTTAGGTGCAATCTGTACTGGGGCTGGTATCATCTTCAAAAAGGGCAAACATAGCTGACACAGAAAGGCAGGCTTAGAGCTAAACTGAGTTTTGAACTGAGTGTAATCTCTGTATGAAAAATGGAATAGCAAAGATGACCCTGCGGTTCCTCCAGTGCCAACTGGAAGACCCACTTCTGTGAATAAAATAGATTAAATCCACAAAGAAACGGTTTTCTGCTTTCCAAGGAAACTGAATTGTTGCTCCTCTATCCTTCCCCTTACTGCTCTGCAATCTGCAGCTGTGTCAGGGGATATTAACAGATAAGAGGCAGGAAATAACTAGCATCTCCTTACCTGAAAAACAGTCACAATTAGGATCAATCTTGCAGTCGCAATCTGATGGGGCTCCGGCGATGACAGAGATCTCACCGTTGGTTGTGACCTGTTGTATACGGTTGATCTTTCTTTCATCTGTCTCTGCAATGTAGAGTATGCCACTGTGAGACACAGCGATTGCCCTGGCTGACTCCAGGGTCGAGTGGATGGCCACCTTGCTGACAATGAAGTGGTCGATGCCTGGCACCTGGCAGTGAATGGGGCGCCCAGCAATAATTCGCACACGCCTGTTCTCAGAGATCTGCAGGACGATGTTGTTGTCCAGGACATACAGTGAGTTGTCTAGAGGGTTCACGGTGAGGTCTGTTGGCCACTCTAATCGCACCTGCGAAAAAAGAATTGAAAGGCAGGGAAAAAAAGAGAAAGGAATGATTAAGACAGCAAGGCAGCTTCATTCAACCATCTCTGATCACCCTGTCGTCAAGGCACTCGTTGGATTCACCCAGCACTGCTTCTCTAGTATCTACCTTTAATTGGATTTGGCAGAAGAAGTTTCAATAAGCATACTCCTTCTGAGGTCCAGCTCCAGGATGGAGCAAAACTTGACTCGAAAAGTAATTTAGCACCCTCTGAGAGCTATTTGCACAACTCCATTAAGGTGAGAACTATTATTATACCTATGCAGTCATGCAAATAAAAACACACTCTTCATGTCATGCAACATCAGTCAGAAAATTTTCCAGGTCTGAATGTTGTTTCAACATGGCAGTCAGTGCTGGCAGGGTGGAAAACAGTTAGAAATTGTCAATGTCCTAACACTTTAATTGACTGTTAGTACAAAAGGAAAATGCCATACTAGAAGAGTATGACACATTTCTACAATTTATTTACTAAGCAAGAAATGTTAATAAGACTTATATGCCACAAGAAATATAAGCTCATTAATTCTTTGTAACATAATAATACACCAATATATCATATTTCACATGATACAGTAGCTAAGCTGCAATTATTTATAATGCTTTTGCTTTGTGAATTCGGTATTTCAGTCATGGATTAAATAAATTCTTCACACTTAAGGTTAACTGTTTGCTTTTTTCCATGCAGGTGAGAGTGCCAACCGAACAGTTTCCAAACCACATTGGAGGAAATACAAGAATGACCTCATTCATCTGATTCCAGTTGCATCAGGATCTGGAGGAATTAAACATGCTCCCAATAAAAGGTGGGGCTGCCTGTCCACCTGAAAGACCACCAGGATGTCGGATGCTGATTGTATCATGTACTGACCAGAGAGCTTCAACCTCCTCCTATTGAGAAAGTTCAATAGGTACTGCATGATTGCTGACTTGGGAAACAACAACAGAGTAGACTGGTCCCTCTTCCCAGCTAATGGCCAGTGGAGGATTTGGACTGCAACTTGTCTATGGAAAGGTCAGAGAACAAATGAGCCACTGAGATTGCAAGACAGCCTATTTTTGTCTATCTTGGGATGCTCTGCTTGTTGTCCTTCACAAAGATATGGCTGCTTGTATCTGAGTGGAATTTTTCTGGACTAAATATTTCAATCAGAAGAGAATAAAAACCAAGTTAAAATGTAAAGGGGTTTTATGCTTTACATGTTACAGAGGCTTTTATTATTTCATTTTCTGATTTTGTTGATGGTTTTTCTCATTTTCCACTGCACTAATTAAAAGATCTATGAATGTAGAGACCGCAGATGCTAATATAATGCTCAGCAGTGAGGAATAACATATGGTACAGTGTGTGGCCATTGCAAGCCACCTGCTTGCCTGGGGTCAGCTCAGGAACCAGGCTGGAGGCCAAGTCTCTCCCTTTGTCAAGCATCAGTATTTCCTGAATAATCTCATTTCCAGAAGTACATTGCTCTTTTGATAATCGATGTTTTAATAAAGCAAAGGCATTGTGGCTACCATGTCTCATCCTGCGTGGTTACATGGTGCACCACACAATTATGAAGGCTCACAGAGTAATCTAATTCCTCCGTGTGCCCAGTCCATTTTACTACACATAATAATAACTGGCATTAAGACTGATGCTGTTGGGTTCAAGATCTCCCCTGAACCAGGTGGTAGAGTCCTTCCAAATGATGACAAATGTGGTGAAGCAGTTGGAAACAGATTCCTCCCACAAAGGTGCTGATTTCTGTGTGTGTCTGACTGCCCAGATTCCACCTGCTGTGCTAGGGCTGGTTACACACTGCTGCTAGCTCATGCTTAGACTGGGAGTTCACTGAACACCAAATAAAACCCTTTAGTTAGCATAAAGATCTCTACAAGGCTATCTTCAGGAAACCTGGAAAAAAAAACATATTTGCAACGTACCTTTAATGCAGAATATTTGATTGCTCTATCAAAGTAAATGGATTACTTTTACTGGGAAACAGACGCCTTCAACTTTAATGGCCTCCTTCACAGATCACTCTGCTGTAACAATAATCTTTGATTAACTGTAACTAGATTATTCATGATAAAAACTTTGGCCTGGAATTCTCCATTGCTGCCATAATGATTCAATATAGCACCTGCCATGTCTTTATAGTTGGTTTTCCTTTGTGGACCAGCAACACTGTCTTTGCCCAGTGAATAACTTGAATTCCTCCCACTGTGAAGGCATGATGACCAATGTCTTGCAGATAAACAGGGACTGGTTTGGGCCAAACCAACTCCTTCTCTGGTTGATTTGAGGCTGATTTGGTCTACTGAGATAGAATAAACTTGTATGCAGCTGTCCATTTCACTCGCAGCAAGGTGCTAAAGCTTAGTTTTAATGGTTGCTAACTGCAAGCACATTTTCTTTCACACTGATCACATCTGTAAATCTAGCTGCATTCTGGCAAAAGTAAATAAAATCTTAGTTGGGAACATCTAAACAGTTTTGGTTGCTACACCAGAACTGTTGCCTAGTTCTCTGCTCCACAAAGCTAACTGAAGGCATGGCTACAGCTTCTCTTTCTTGGGTTTAAAGCAGTCATGGCTGTATTAATGCTTTAATCCCAGGTGAAATATTAAAGGTAGCATGTACCTGTCTGAAGACTGCAGCCTAAGAACCAGCTGCTGCTCACTCCAAGCTTATGCTAGTGCAGCTGGAGGTGAAAAAAAGGTGAAATAGGTCAATTAAAATCAAACATGCACATAAACACAAACCCTTCAGCATCCCTAATCTGAGGGAGAACTGCAGATTTAGAAAAAAATCTGCACTGGTCTTGTCAGGAAGAGGCTTCACCCATCTTACACTGGGGCTGCTGCAGTCCCACCCCATTCCTTCTCCCAGTGCAGCCCCCAGCAGCAAGGCCAGGGCTTAATGTGGCCCTACAGAGAGCAGGCTCAGGAGAGTTTGCTGCCTAAAAACTAATCACCTAAATCAGCTTAAGCTGAAGTGTAACTGCACCCTCAGGTTCCCTGCTACCTTGAAACGTCACCAGTTGTTTCTTCTCTTTTTAAGCAAGCTGCCCTCTGGCAGGTTTCTGTGACCAAACCATCAGTTGTGCTTCATTCAAAGCTAATAAACATATTACACAGAAGCACTTCAATTCCCATCTGATATCACTGTGCCTATTAAAAAGTTTTTCCAGACAAAATCTCAGTTAGGATAAGAATATTAAATCAATATTAAATATTAATACACTTTTTAATTTGAAGCATTTCTTCACAAATCCCTGTAAAAAGTCCTCCCCCATGTATGTGTATTTTTCTTATAACTCAAAATTGGGCCCATTGCAAGTATTTTTCTTAAACTTAGTGGGCTCTTTTTTTGAGCAGTGTACAGAAACAGCACTGATGATTATCCCATTCTAAATGGACAGACAAGGTTTGCTCAGGAGCAGTCAGTTCCTCACGCTCTTCACACACTGAAATTTTCAGGTGACAATTCTGGTTTGGTTCATGGCAGACTGAGTATTTGCAATGGAAATCAATGCCGGAACAAGTGAGCCCGTGAGCAATGAGACCTTTGCATGTAAGTATTAACATGTCAACTTTTGTGGCAATTCAGCATTTAACTGTCAACATAAAGGCTCCAGCTATATCTAATAATCAACCTCTGGTTTTAGAAGTGCAAAATTAACACCTACTAAAAGTTTTTTCATGTCAAGTGTTCCAGAAAACACAAAGTGCACTAAGGCAGCTTTGGTTTAAAAGAATTTTCACTGGGAAATCTACATTTAGGTAGATAAATGACCCTCAGACCTGAATGGTATTTTTTGTATTTGTTTTTTTTCTTGCAAAATACACATGCTCTTGTATAACTGTCTATCTACCTATCTGGTTTCGAAATACTTATTTTTCTGTGGAAAGCTGACCCTGGCTGAATACTAGGTACCCACCAAAGCTACTCCATCAGTCCCCTCTCAGCTGGACAGCGGAGAAAAAATGTATGGAAAGGCTCGTGGGTCAAGATACAGACAGGGAGAGATCATTCACCAATTTCCATCATGGGCAAAACAGGCCTGACTTGGGGAAATTAGTTTAATTTATTACCAATCAAATCAGAGTAGGGTAATAAAAAATAAAGCCTAAATCTTAAAAACACCTTCCCCCCAGCCCTCCCTTCTTCCTGGGCTCAACTTCACTCCTGATTTCTCTACCGTCCTCCCCCCAAGTGGCACAGGGACATGGGGAATGGGAGCTGTGGTGAATTCATCACACATTGTCTCTGCTGCTTCTTCCTCCTCATGGGAGGACTCCTCACACTCTTCCCCTGCTCCAGCATGGGGTCCTTCCCACAGGAGACAGTCAGACTCCTCCAACATGAATCCTTCCCATGGGCTGCAATTCTCCACAAGCTGCTCCGTGGGATCCCTCCCATGCAGTGCAATCCTTCAGGAACAGACTGCTCCGGTGTGGGTCCTCTGTGGTGGGAAGCTTCTCACATAAGTCACTCCTGCAGCCCCCCTGCTATCAAAACCTTGCCATGCAAACCCAATACATTTTACAACAGCAAAGCTTTATAACTAAATAAATGAGATTTTTTGTGAAGTAGCTCTGATTGGAGAGCCTGTACTCATGTACATCTTAGACATACACACCTGCACATGTACACATGTTAAAGTGTTAGCTTATCAAGAATACTGTTTTACTTTTGGTTTTGATGATATGGCTGAAAGTTTCTGCACATTTTCCATGACATTTGCATGGCTGTGGCATTTTTGGTACTCTTTTAAACAAAACAGATCAAACAAATTCTACTGTTCACATCAAAGTAAGAACAGTAAAGAGGGAAAAAATTATCCTTGTCTGCAGATGCTGGTTTCAAGAGCTTAACTGTTTGGTTGCAGGGGTAAATTTCACTGGGATAAGTTTCATTTATCATGGATTAAAAGAAGCTGCATAAATCCCTAAAAAGGCTTCACCATTGCTTTGATTT